TGCTACGCAGGCTACGCTAGGCGGGATGAATTTTTCCCTTCTGAGAGGGTCCTGAAGGGGTAAAATGGGAACTGGGATTGATCTATTTTTAGACTGGGAAAATGGGATTTGGGTTGCTGGGACTGGGATTTGGTCACTGGGAATGGGAAATGAAGTCCTCAAAAATGGGAATGGGATTGAGGTAATGCGAGTCGATTCCCAATTTTTCTGCGTGTTAAGTATTTTAAAATACAATTTTGATCCGTTTTTGGTGTCTTTGGTCATGATTTTTGTTGTTAACTATATTATCCATAGCACTACCTGCGAACAGGCATACTCTGGCGCCCGGAATTCTGGGTTTTCTGATTATGTGTGTCTCAGAATGCTACAAATTCCATTTCCGGAATTCAAATTTAAAAATTTTCCGTGCCTTTGGCACAACCCCCCCCCCCAATTTTATAAAGTGTGCGACACGGTGGCTTAAAAGTCTTAAAACTGTTTATTGTACCGATAAATAAAGGGTTTTTTATTGACTGGGATTTCAATAACTCGGACTGGGATTTGTAATAAAAATCCAACTGGGACTGGGATTTTGCCAAAATTTCAGGTGGGACCCTCTTCTGAGCAAGCGTAAATACTTTTATTGCAACAAAAATATGATGTCAAGCATTAAATGGCTGCATCCCAGCGATGTATTTTGTCCATATAAACACTAAGCGAGTATTCCGTCTAGGCGGGACGAAAACGTCCCATCTCATGTAGGCGGGATCATATAAACAGGCTCTGAGTCTTGACAAAGGTCTAGCAAAATGCCAATGTCAAAGGCAATTTAATATTGTCAAATTGTTAATATTAGTGTGTAAATTAGTATGGAATTCACAATAATAGATTTGAATTTATATATTAATCTTTCGTCCCAATTGCATGTTTTATATGCAAAACGAACGCGGCAAATTCGAACATTCAATGAAATATTTTCAGACACATCGCTCAAATAAACAATCATATTCACTACATTATTTCGCAATGACTGTGTTTAAATAACAAGTCAAATATACAATTATTCTTACCTGTGAGATCTGAGCAACATTTTAAGGACATTCTGATGCGTTTCCCATCGTTATTTGCCATATAAATTGCCTTCAAAGCGCTCTTTAATTCTATATCAAAACGACGCTATCGCGCGATGCTCCGCGTTCTAAAAGGTAAACTAGGTACCAGGCGTTTAGTCAATACGCGAACTATTCCTGCTGGATAAAAATTCCGGAGGATAAAAATTCTCTTCAACGATTCAATAAAACTGAAAAGAGCTCAAATTTGGTAAACTAAATAAAAACAAAGTGAATATATTTCCGGCAGCCAGTCTAACTCTCAAAAGATTAGGCGTTAGGGTTAGAGAAGTCAGAGAAGGGTTTGGGCCGTTTGGCGTTGGGAATCGTTCCGTCTTATAAAAATTCTGCTTTATTTAACTATAGTCACTGTACTGCCGGCCAATTAGTATTTGACAAACCGTGACTGGCTGCCGGTCATATAGTCACTTCAACTCGAAATAAAAAGTACAAATTTACCTGAGTAATAAGTTAACGACTATGCTAGTTACGGTCGCAATATTCCAATAAGATAGTATACGTT